AGAAGTAGGAGTATCTCCTAGGCTGGAATTAAAAAATAAATGTGAGAGTAATCAGTTTATAAGTGTTATTTAAAACCATGACAGTGTATGAAGCCACCAAGAGACTGAGTGTAGATAAAGAAGAGGAGCCCCAAGAGGAGGCACCTCTCATTCCAACATATAGAAGTCAGAAAACAGGAGGGTATTCTAAGCAATATCTAGTGAGGCAGAGAAAAATCAGGAAGCTGTGTTGTCCTGGAAGCCACATGAATAAAGTGTTTCTAAAACGAGGGAATGGGCAGCTGGAACAACGCTATTGTATGGCTGAGTAAGATGGGGACCAAAAATTGACAGCTGAACTTGATTTTGTGAAGGTCATGGCTGACCGTGACTAGAGCACTTTCCCTGCAGTATTGAGCAAAAAGGCACAACTCGAGTGAGTTCAAGAGAACATGGGAGGTGAGTAATTAGAAACAACTACAGAAAATTAATTTTTTTCTAAAAAGTGAAGCCAAAGATTGATGTGGAAATTAGAAATAAACATGAGATGATGAGAATATTTTTTAAAAGCTATTACAGCATGGGCATATGCTGATGGGACTAAAATAGAAAGAGCTAAATTGGTAAGGCAAGAGAGAAAGACTATTTATGTGGAGGAGAAGTGTGCTTGAAAAGGCCAGAGGGATGGGTCCCAGCAGAGGAGCAGATCAGCTGGGCTGGTTGGACAGACTGCACAGTCACTGTAGCAGGAGGCGAGCCAGTGTGCGCAGGACAGATAGAGGAGGTTTGTGTAGGTGGGATGATGGCACATAAGGACATACCCTTCTGATATTTTTTCCTCGGTAAAGGCAGAAGAAAGGTTATCTGATGAGAATGAGGAGGGAAAGGGCTTACGTAGGTTTGAGAAGTGCAAAACGGACCTTGGAAAATGTGAAGATGACTCACTGAACAGTGATGAAAGCTGTGTGAACCATACTTGTATATGGGAGACAAGTCAACAACGGTGGCCTTTTGCTCTCCAGCCATTTTTTAGCTTCTTAGGTTCAGGTTTGGAGTAAACATCACATTTCGCTAGAGTTGAGTTTCATTGACTTTTTCTTGGATGAGTGCAGTGATGGAAGAGAAAATGAAGGGATTTGAGAATAGAAACAAGAGAATAATTAGGACAAGGGACCACAGAAGCTAAGGTCGTCAAGGAGGGAAGCAATGACATTCGGGAGTGACAGTGAGAACCTGGCAAAGTCAATGGCTTGGCGATGCTTCGGAGTATAAAAAATTGTTGGATTTTTTTTTTTTTTTTTTTCTAAAAGAAGTGACCTAGAAGGAGAAGACGTGCTAAGAGGAGTGACCGAAGGAGAAGAGGTGATCAGAGACTGGGTACTTGGAACGGAAGTTTTGGTGCCAGTGCAGTTATTGGTAATGACACGAGGGAAGGTAAAGCCCGGCACGGGTGGCTGCTGTTCAGGCAGGGAGGCGACCAGATGTTCACAAGTGAGCAGGTCAAGAAGCCGAGTGGCCAGGCTGGTGGGTGCTGAATGAGTAGTGGTGGGAGAAAAACGTAGTTGATTAGGTGCTAAAATATGCCATCCTGTGGCGCCTGCTTCCGAAGAGGTTATTAGGGAGGAGAGAGGAGCAAAGCTCTGGAAGTTACAGCCAAGAGCAAAGCAAGACCTGCCTCCCCTTCCGGCCGTGACACGCAGGCCGTGGGAAGGAAGATAGCCGTCCTGAGTGAGCTGCGTCACAAAGTAGATTGAGGGCATGGTGGTGGCAGCTGTAAGATCTAGGCGGTATAAGGGAAAGGTTGGAGGAGGGGTGAGGGGGTCAGAGCTTGAGGCAAATGAGGGACTGTGTGAGTGGCATGGGGGTAAGCTACAGGGGCAGGCGAATGACGTGGGAGTTCAGACTGTCTGGGCAATGGGTGCCCAAGGGTGAGTTCACGATGGCACCGCCCTGGGGTTACTTTGGTGTGGCACATACTCAACTCTAACGAGTCACGAGGAGGCAGGGAATGTGTGTGTTGAGAGGAAAGGGCTGGGGTAAACTTGTTTTTCCACAAGAACAGGTGGCACACTGACAGCCTCCCTCAGCGCCAAGAGGCGACTTTGCTCAAAGAAAATGGTGCCAGTTTGACTCCTCCATCAGGCAGTTCGGCTCTCTGTTACTGGTACTCTCTAAAGAAAGGCAACCCTCTCTGCAACGGGCTGAAGCAACAATATACACAGCCCTGAACCTGCGCCGCAAATGGTGCATTAAAAACCACACTTTTCATCAGTTAAACTTTCTACTCCAAGATCTACACTATTTTTAGGTTTGGGCTTCCTGAGGAACTGTTAGTTTTCTAAGTCACTTTGCAGCAAGAGGTCCCTGAGCTGGGAAGTTCTAACTTTCGACTCCTTCCCCACTTGTGCAATTAAGAAGGCCCTAAAGAGAATCCTGAGATAGACCTTTGGGAGCTACAGTTCCAGCACTCTTTTCCTGTGGTTTGTGAGTTCAAACAAGGCAAAATGTGACCAGCTCTTGCCGTTTTCTTTGAATAAAACAGTAGAAGCCACTGGATCCTAAGTATGTTTTCAAGTCTCCTCATGTGAGGGTAAGTTGTTCTGCACATGTCACCTGGATGGCACAGACTTGATATTCAATTTTACTTCATTGAAAAGGCTCACTAGGGTCCACACCAAAGGTATTTGGCACGTGCTGTTCCATGCACTAGGAGGCTCTGACCTCAAATGCCCACTTTGTCTAATAACCTCCTCATCCTCCAGGACTCACAGCAGTCCTGGTTCTGCATTGTCTTTTTCAGCCTCACTTTGTGATCTACTTTCATGGTCATTCATCTTATGCGGTGATTAGTAATGTGAAGCAGGTATCCCAGGGCACCTGGCCCCATGCTGGCCTGGCATGCAGAAGCCTGCAATAACTATTTGCTAATGGTGGTGCTGATGTAAGTCTAGACATGTTCCCTGGTCCATACCCCTAGACAATTTCATTATATTTCACCCAATACTTTAAATACCCAACATCATCCTCAGTGTCCGTATGTACAGGGTTGATATAGGATAGTTACAGGTACTTCTTTATACATTATTCTCTTATCATGGATGTAACTGTATTATCTCAGAGTAGGAAGGATGTTTGGGGTTGCCTCTTCCTTGCCATCAATCTCTGGCAGATTATCTGAGCAAAAATAAAATTAGACAGGAACATAATTATATCCTCTGCTGGTAAGCATGCTAATCTTTCACTGCTGGCCAAGTTCCTGAGGCCAGAACCCTGTTATGTTCTTTGGAAGCTTAAACACCCTTCCCATAGAACTAATTTGAGGGCTGACAGCTACCATTTATTGAGCACTTACTATATGCCAGGTACTGTGCTAATCACATCACTCATTCATTTCTATTGAAAAACCACCACCACCCAGTGAGGGAGAGACACTATTGTTATCCTTATTTTATAAAAAATAAATAAAAAGGCTTACAAACATTACTTAACTTTTCTTAAGTTCATATAGCTACAAAGCAGAGCTGGGATTTGAATCAGGTCTCTGAACCCAAAAGCTCATGCATATTCTTTTCTGTGATGCTACTCTAAGCAGGGTGCAGCTCTGCAATGGAAGGAACACTGGGGCTCCTGGTTGGTGTCACAGTCTTGAATATTCTCCTGGTTCCCAATATGAGATAATTGTAGTAGTGATTTAAACTATCCTACCTTGGAATGATCTAATTTTTTAAAAGGAAGCTTCAGCTTGTGAATACATAAAAATAAACAGGAATAACATTATTTAAATTCCTTTTTGAGTTTTTAGTCATTTCATAATAAAATTACATATAAAAACTACACTTGAGTTGGCCTGATGTCCTAGGCAATTCTATTTTAAATGTTCTCTAAGGGTTCCCAGCCATATAGTTTGACTAGTAAAATCAATATTATAGACTCAACACTTGCAAGCAAATCCTTCCTTCTGAGCTCATAGTTTAAGAATTATTGTAGTTAACTGCCCTGGCGGGTGTTGTGCAGTGGTTAGAGCATCGTCCTGTGCACCGAAGAATCGTGGGTTCAACCCCTGGTCAGGGCACATGCAGGAGGCAACAGACCGATGTTTCTCTCTCCCTCCCACTTCCAATCTCTCTAGAATCAATGAAAAAGCATATCCTGTCCGGGCTGGTGTGGCTCAGTTGGCTGGGCGTAGTCCTGCGAACTGAGAGTTTTGCGATTTGATTCCCGGTCAGGGCACCTGCCTGGGTTGCAGGCTGGATCCCGGGAGGGGGCGTGCAGCAGGCAGCCGATTGACGTTTCCCTCTCACATCCATGCTTCTCTCTCCCTCTCCCTTCCTCTCTCTCTAAAATAGCAATGCAATTTTTTTTTAAAAGATGAGACATGGGTCAAAAAGAGGATGGGTGGGATAGACAGTACTTGGTGAGCAAATTTAAGGGTGAGGAAGAACAGAGCAAATAGGAACGAGCACTTATGGAGCCCTCCCTGTGTACTAGGTGCTGTCTCAGCCTTAACACAGCTGCCGCACCGAAACCACAGAACAAGTCTATGAGAACAGTACCTTCATTATTCCCATTCTACAGGTGGAAAAAGCGATGCCTGGGAGATTCTGTAAGAGCAGCACATTGTAGAACGTCTGAAGCAGGCAGTTTGACTGCTTATACATTGTTTTTCACTATTGCATCATACAGCTCCCTGGGTGAGTCCGAGGTTTTTATTAACTAAGACAGGGCCTGGGAACAGATACGGAGAGAGCTAAGAGATCTATTTTGCACATTTGGAGTTTGAATTTCTTGCTGGATGTCCTGGGGGAAGTATCTGGTTAAGGGATTGGAAGGATAGAGAAAAGGGAATTCAAGTTTAAGAAGGCTTTGCTATGGAGAGTAGTCGATATGAAAGGACCCTGCAAACTTGATCCTGGGAAGGATGTGAATAAAAGCAGCACAGGGACAAGAATGAATGGTGTCCAGGCCACTCTCCCCATTGAAAAAGTAAACACACACAAACACAGAACCTTCAAACACAAAGATCCCATAAACTCAAGTGGTATTTATTTCTGATTATGCCGTTAAAAGTGAGTTTCTGTTTCCTGTGAGACAGATGTGCTTTGCTCCTTAAAAGCATTGTCTTATCAACATGTGAAGAACGGTTCTCCCAAAACTAGCTCCCAAGAAACCTGAACTTCTCTAGAAACTTGTCATTACTAATGTTCACAAATATATCAAAATTGGACCTTTAAGCATCCACATTTTAAAATGATTGTGAATGACTATGTTGCCAACAGGGAAGAACAATACTGTAAAAATGAGAAGCAAAACTTAGTTTCTTCTGTCTCCTTCTTCTGGTCCCCTCTCCCCCATCACCTCTCTCTTGCTGCCAAGCTGCAAAATGCCTTTGCCTGCTGTGTCCTTCAGAGAGAATCCAGACGGCCAAGAACAGCGGGCCTGAGTGAGAAGAGAATGTCGCTCTGAGGCACACTCTCTCGCAGTTTAACTGAGAGGGACACAGGGCTACTATCTCACTGCGGTGTCCCAAGGTGCAGCTAAGGGGCGGGGGAAGGCCTGAGGGGAAGCCCGGCGCTCCTGCAAGGGCACTGCAGGCGTGGGAAGGGGCCTAACCGCTGCTTCCCAACTCCCAGATGGCAGGAGGCCTTTCTCATGCGACCATCCAGCAGTCACAGAGATCCAGGCCCGAGCACAGAGGAATTCAAGGCAGGGATGGTTAAATGGTTTTCTTCCCCATTTCCCCCTCTAAGGTGCACCCTGCATAGCAGACAGGCATCCGTGGACTTGGCCAGGCAGACCAGGGGGCTGGAGAAAGGGACTTTTTCACATGGTCCAAAATTTCCCGTATCAAATCACCACAAAGAAAACTGAGCAGTGTCAAGGGATGAATTGAAAAGTGGTTCAAAGGTTCCTGGTGATTCGACTGTATTTCGTAAAATGCTCTACATTTCTCTTTTTGGTCATGGTAAGGTCTATTGGCACAAACAGCACAGCCACAAAGTATTCTTTTGCTTTTAATAACTCATCTGATATATATTTATATATTTTTATATATCTGCTTATCTTCATTTCCTCAGCAAAAAGGGAAATAAAAATATTGATCTATAAAATAAGCTGATGATAACACAATGCCAAAAATAGCTTATGTTAAGTGCAAGGGGTGAAGCTTGAAAGCAAGCTAAATTGCAACAACATACTGAATTAACATTTTAAATACAAGACTTGCAATAAAATAATTCTTGAGATATGCCTCTCCTTTTTAGTTTACTTTTCAAAAACTACTCTATATACACATATCCAGTTGTAACACTTGACAGTAGCACATGGGGCGCGATATAACTTTGGTACACACTGCGGATATGGATGGGTCACGTCTGTAAATGATATTCCTTCACCAGCTAGACTGAGCACTGTACAGCCAGGTGACCTGTCACCTGATCCCACGTACACTCCCACAGGAACCCCGAGTCCTCCCCAGATGGGCCGAGGCGGCCGGAGAAAGCAGGCTCACTGGATCCATATCGTGTTTCCTCTGTCGGTTCTCCTGGGCTCCACCGTCAGCTCCCCAAACGTGGAGAAGAACTGCTCCATCTCTTTCTGGAGCATGTCGTTTCTCTTCTCGGCGTCCTCTTTCGCTCGCTCTGCGTTGCGCATTTTGATTTCTATCATCGTGAACTTTTTCCTCTCCTGGTCCAGTTCATCGTGGAGGCTCATCATTTCTGTTTCCAGCGTCAGGTTGCGCTGCTCTAAGCTACAGGGGGTGGGGAAGGGAACACGAGATAAAGCGATTTTATTCACTTGCAATGTGAGAGGGATACAAATAGTTTCTAACTCTGTCTCTGCGATGCTTAGGAGATTGGAGCGAGCTATTTCAGATCAATGAAGCAAGGTCTAGTGATTTTAAAGTTTTTTTTTTGTTTTTTGTTTTTTAGTATTTGCTAAGATGATTTATTATCATTTTAACAAGAAGACCCCAAGACTTCTCTTAGAAACACTCAGTGGTCATTTGATAGTGAATGTATAAATGTCAGCACAGAGGAGCCAGACAACTACTGTCACATGGCACAGAATGGCAGAGGGGGGAGGCAGCCAAGACCACCAGGCCCTAGATCATTAACTGTAAATTGGACTTTTTACTGAAAGACTTTCTTTTTTACAAAAAAAAAAAAAAGTTGGAAGAAAAGGGAGCAATCTATTTGGTTTCTATGAGAGGAAAAATAATGATAGTGAAAATTATCATTGTTAGATAAAGTCTACTGCTAAGAATGAACTTCTCTGAGATAAGAATTTCCATCTTACAAAAGTGGAATGAAAAGGAGCCACCTTACGTGGGCAAGAGAGGTAGGGATTACTCATGGTGAGTAAGTAATCCATCTGACATTTTGTCACATGGTCCACCCAGGTAACCTGCTATCCATAACTCTCACTGCTTTCCAAGTTAATATATCTTAGGATCTCTAGATTAATATCTCTATAGGTTGATAGCTTTATCCTTTTAGATAACTGTCTAATTTTAGATAACTTTCTTGAAAACAGAGCTTTCTCTATAATTACTAAGTTCCAATACATAATTTGTTTTTATTGTTCAAATAAGAGTATTAAGCACTTATTTATTATAAGATTGATCTTAATAATAGTTGAATTTTCACGTCTTCTCTTCTGAGCTAACATCCCTGGGGTATGTTTGAAGTTACCACACCACTGAAATTTGAATTTCAGAAATCTGATTTTTTAATAACAATTTTCTAACTTTAAAATCTCAATTATTTTTCTGTTTTGAAATAAGTTCTATATGTTGATATTTCATCCAGATAATAATAACACTTAAAAATAAATCTGCTCTCCTTTTGAAAGTAACTAGGATTTAAAAAATTATTCTTCATATTCTGTAATCAGTTTAGAAGGCTTGTTTTGACCATATGACCACATTTTTATATGACAACCTGGCAGTGCGCAACCCAGAATTATTCTACGATATATTCTCTTTGCTTTCTAAAGCTATTTATTTCAGACCTAGAAATGCTAAAGAAACTCAAGCATAAATACCAGGGAAGACAATCCTTTAAACCATACTGATACAGTGTGTGTATCAGGCCCTTGTGTGAAACTTCCAGGACTCTAATGGGGTAAGTTGAATACAGAAGGGAACCCCTCCCACTGCAAACCCAGAGTGATGCTGGAAAAATATAAATTTTAAAAATACATAGCCAAGGTTAAAAGAAATAAAAGAGCATCGTCAAGTATCATAACCAAGGATGATACTCCAGTTTAGAACAGTAAGTGGAAGCACACACAGAGTACTGATCTTGGATATAGCCTGAGGCGGGAGCGAGTTTTTTATTTTTCACTTGGGGGAGAAGAGGTCTCCAGTGTAAGAGAAAGAAAGCTCAAAGTGATTCAACCGAGAGCTGATAACCTCAATTATCTTTATAAAAAGGAGTCCACAAAAACTCTACTCATGGGCTGAGTGAAGTGTCAGAACCGAATCAGCAGAAGAAAAAAATCAGTCTTAGCTCTATATTTTTGTCTATGTCTCCTCGGGTCTCAGGCAAAGGCAACAAAAGCAAAAATAAACAAATGGAACTACATCAGACTTCCAGGTTTTACAGAGTGAAGAAAGCTGTCAACGAGAGTAAAAGGCAACCCACTGAGTGGGAGAAATATTTGCAAGCTATATATCCAATACGGGGTTAATACCTAAATATACAAAAAAAAGCCCTCATGTAATCAGAAAAGCAAATAATCCAATTGAAAAATGGGCAGAGAACGTGAATAAACATTTCTCCAAAGAAGATGTACAGGTGGCCAAGGGACACCGGAAAAGATGCTCAGCATCAGGGAAATGCGAAACAAAACCAGTCAGCGCCTCCCACCTATGGACCGGCTACTGTGACAAACACAGTAAGTGTTGGAGAGGGCGCGGAGGAAAGGGGGCTCTCCTGCACTGCTGGACGCATTCTAGCTAGCTGCGGCCACCGTGGGGAGGAGTATGGAGAGTCCCCCAAAATTAAAAATACAATTACTGCATGACACAGCAGCTCTACTTCTGGGTATTTACCTGGAGAAAACAAAAACAATAATTTGAAAAGATATATGCACCCTTCTGTTCACTGCAGCATTATTTACAATAGTCAAGATATGGAAGCAATGGAGGTGTCCTTCCATCGATGAAAGATGAGTGGATAAAGCTGTGGGACATATATACAATGGAATATGACGCAGCCATAAAAAAACCTGAAATCTTGCAACACCCTAGAGAGTATATGTTAAGTGAAATAAGTCAGACAGAGAAAAACAAATGCCATATGATTTTACTTATATGTGGAATCTAAAAAACAAAACGACTGAACAAACAAAATGAAACAGAAGCAAACAGAGAACAAACTGATGTTTTTTTGAGAGGAGGAGGGTGGGAGGTGGGAGAAAACAGGAAAAGGGTCAAAAAGTACAAATTTCCAGTTCCAGTTATAAAATAAATCACAAGGATGTAAAGTAAAACACAGGAAATATAGTCAGTAATATCAGAATAACTATGTATTGCGACAGATGGTTACTAGATTTATTGTGGTGATCACTTCCTAAGGTGTATAAATGCTGGATCACTGTGTTGTACACCTGAAACTAATATATGGTATGTCAACTATAATTAAAAATAAATCTTAAAAAAGTAAACATTAGTAAACTGGGAAACAGGTCTGAGAAAAATGGCCTAGAATGCCTCACAGAATGAGAAAGGTCCAACATACTTTAATAAGGGTTGTAGAAACAGAAAATTGAGAAAATGGGGCAGATGAAGTAAACAAAAAGGTGATAGATAAAAATATTCCAGATTTGAAAAATATATGAGTCCTCAGATCAAGTAAACATAAAGTTTGAAAGTTAATGGAAAAGGTATAGCAGAAAGTTACTAATCAAAATAAAAATGGTATAGCAATGTTAATATCAGAAAAAATAGACTTTTAGGCAAAATGCATTATTACAATTAAAGATGGCTATTACTTAATCATAAAAGAATCAATTCATCAGGGATATATAAATAATTCTGAACTTTTATTCACCTAGCAGTGTAGTCTCAAATCAGTCAATATAAAATATAACAGAATTATAAGGAGAGAGAAATTGATAAATCCATAAAAATTAGGAGAGTTTAAGTTACCTTTGTTAGAAATTATAGATCTGATAAAAACTAGGAGAAATAGAAAAGATTTAAACAGCTTGATTAACAGGCTTGATCTATTGGTCATATATAAAACCCCAAACCAATCGTAAGAGAATAGTTTTACAAGACCAGATAATTTATATCATTAAAATAAATTTCTCTGACTACAATACAATAAAGAAATTTATGGGAGGGTGAGAGTACACTAAACTCACATGTTTAAAAACTAAAAAAACATTTTAATGATTGATACACAAAATAAACTATTATCTATCTATTTTATCATCTATTGAGCTATCTAGGTATGTATGTATGTAGGTATGTATATATGTATGTACATACCTGTGTATCATCTATCTGTCTAACCTATGGGTGGGGTTAAAAAGAATTTGAAAGAGGAATGTGTAAGTCTAAACAGGGATTTCTGTGGCTTGGGCATGGGGCAGCTCCTCTGTCCTACTTTATTGTGAACCCCTCCTTTTGCTTGTCAGGTAGTAAGAATGCCACAGGGAAAGGACCCAGTGAGATGACACTCTAATGAAAAGTTCCATTATTTTATCAGAGTCTCTGAAGTGCACCATAGACTCAGAATATAAATGTATCACCAATGTTCTCATAAATGATTATGTTCATCTTCAGCCATGCAGAATAATAACTTATTTTCTACGCCAATGCAAGTTTCAACTGTTATCTCTTGTTTCCCAATGCTAAGTGCTAATTTATCACCATGCACCCGCAGCGATTCAGAGTTCTGGAAGCCAGTGGTTCTAACCACCACATTCAGAAAGAGGTTTAACCTTATAAAATGACGACACCTCTTTTCTTCGTTTTTAACCTCCTGTCACTAGGCATGATATAGAAAAATTCAAACCAACTTTCTATTCATTAACTTTTGCAAAATCGACTTTCTGAAGTAATTTTTCAACCTAACATATAAATAGCATTTTATTTCATATTTACCATAGCTCTTGAAAATATGTATTTTTTGGCCTTATGATTGATAAATGGATGGGAAACAAAGATAAAGTCAGATTTCTATTATAAAAAAGAAACTATATGGGGTTTGGAGCCATGGAAGCAGTTGACGCAGGACAAAGACTAAGGTTCAGAAACGGTAAGGGTCCTAGAACCCCTTTGCAGGGACAGGGCTGCCCCACACACAGCCTGGCACCCAGACCACTAGGGGCGTCCCTCATGCTGAACGGGGCCTCAGGCCTTCTCCTGACTTAGGAGCTCAGTGTTCATCCCCTACCCTATGCTGAAGGGAAAACACAACAACAGTTTTGCCATTTCTGTGACCTCGGTGACGCATGGGTGTGGTGACTTTCTGGTTTCCAGGACATGATCATATTTGTGGGTCCTGGGCTCCATTCTCGGAGATCCTGCCTCTCTAGTCCATGGACTGTCTGAGAGTCAGGGGCCCTGTGAACACAGGACACTCAGCCAATGTCCCTTACCTTGCCTGGGTTGCTTCCCTGGAGAAGGTGCTAAGCAAACTTCTTTCTACCTGGCCATGTGATGAGAAGATGTGAACTGACATAAATTAGGCTTTAGCACAGTTGTTTCCTTATAAATCATAGTTTTTGCTTCCCATTTAGGCTACAACTTCCCTTGTCTACATGAGTGCACTTTGTGTCAAGATCTTTCTCAGAAACCTTCATGGATTCCAATCTCAGAGTAAAAGCTAAACACTTACTCTGGTCCCCAGGGTCCTGCCACCTGTTCCCTGTTCCCTCCCCGAGCTCCTTGCCCAGCCCATCTCGCAGCCTTTCCACTCACTTCTCTCCCAGGCATCTGCTCAGCTTCCCCTTTAACCTGCCCTAAGGCCCTACGCTTAAAATTACACCTCACCAGCATTTCTCACCCCTCTTCCCTGCTTTAGTTGTCCGCTTAGCATAGGCCCTAGTTTATTTATTTATCCGGCTTCCCCAGTACACTGGAAGCGTGTTCCAAGAGGGCTGAGGGCTGAGGGCTGAGTTTCCACCTGTTTTATTCCCTGCTCAGTCCTCAGGGCCTGGAACTGAGCTTGGCAGAGAGCAGACACTCTCAGCATTCAACAAGTAAAAGAATCAAAAAAGATCTCATTTCTCCAACTTTACCCTCATTTCAGCCTTTTCCTGTCGGTGAAAACAAGCTCCTTATCGCCCACTCAGCCCCACAGAGCTCCTCTCTCACCAGCCTCTAGCAGAAACCCACAGAGTATCACTGAGCACCTCTCCTGTGCAGGGACAAGGCTCAGGGCTTTCTCACATGCTTTTGAGAGAAATGCTACTAGTATTTAAATTTTTCACATTAAGAAACCAAGGCTCACAGAGAGAAAGTGAACTTTTAAATGGTGAAGCTAGTACTTGACTAGGGGACGCTGGCTTCGGAACTAGCATATTGAACCCTCTGTGTGGGCCTGTCCCCAGTGGGAGGTGCTCTGCGGTTATGAGCTCCCGGTTTTCTCACCTCTTTATTTTGGACTCATACTCTATCTTCTGCTTGGTCATCTCCTGTTTCAGGCTGGACACTAAACTGTGCAGGGCACTGTGGTTGCCGCTGTTGTTGCCCACAAACGTCTCACTGTTGTCGCTGCTGCTGGTGGCACGACTACTCCGGCCGCCCACACTCCTCCGATCGCTTTTGTTTTCATAGTCCCCAGGGTGGGAAAGATCGTCCTGTGGTGGCCCATCCAGAACAGGGTCCTCAAAGTTCCCACCGTAAAAGTCTTGCTCTGGGCAGGTGGTGGTGGAGGAGCGACAGGAGTTGGAGTTCTCAGGGAGGGAGATTTCACAGGAGGAAGTGGACCAGGTGGCGCTGTCGACACTCTGTTTGTCATCAAGGTTCATCATGGAGAACTGTTGATGGACGTTATCATAGGTGGAGAGCCGGTTGTGCTGGCCTGACTCTCCGGGTTGCTCTTTCTGCTTGTTATCTCTCAGGGTCACGTAGCCATTGGGCAGCCAGCTCATGCTGCGACCATTCATGGGGTTCCCGAGTGAGTCGGTGTTTAAAATGCCCATTCGTACTGTTCCATTCTGTACACTGTGGGTGCCCATTTTGGTACCGGACCCCTTCAGTGATGAGGTCCTTCTGGCCTGTAAGCTCCCATTGGGAGTGGTTTGGGTTTTCTCAAGACCTTCTGCATTACTGCTGCTGAAGGACCCATTGGTGACAATCCCACTGCCCTTATTGAAGGCGGGATTCTTTTTGACCATAAGAGGGGGGCTCCTAGAGACGTCCGGCTTGTGAACACTGTTCCTTGGGCTGTTAGTTTTGCTGCCTGACAGAGCTGTGGGGGATCCATTATCTATGCTGCTCCTCTGGGGAGACTCGGGCTTCTCCCAAGAGCAGCGCCTAACGGGACTGTCCTTGGTATTATTGTTCTCTTTGTTCTGTAGCTGACCCATGGTGGTTTTCTTCTGAATTTCATTGTTGTTGTTGCTCACTCCGTCTTGGGGCTTGCTTTGCAGTTCTGCATCTTTGGGGAAAAGGCGATCATGTTTGCTAATCATCATTGACATCAATTGCTGGACCACCACGGTGCCTGGAATTGCAAAGAAAACAAAGTCGTATGAGTGAAATAGTTTTATTTCCCATTTTGAAAGTGATTCTTAAAGGACCACATTCAGGCGAACATTCAGCATTATTATTAGTAGTGCTGAACAATATTCTTAATGATGATAATGGCAATAGAAGCTAAAATTTCTTGAGCATTTACTATGTGCTGTGAGCTCTATCAAACACTTTATTTTTGTTAGCTTAGTTGGATTTAAAAATAAATCTATGAATAGGTAGTTACTATCATTGTACTGTATATTTTAAGTAACTTGACTAAGGTCACAAAGCTATTAAAGAGCAGGTAGACTTGAACACAGAGCTTGTTCAAGGGGCTCTTAATCATTTTACAACATTTCTTGCAAGCTTGACATTTATTTATGAGAAATATTCCTCAGAAGGACATCACTGTGACCTCTCATCTGACAATTGCCTCAAACCATCAAGACGTTTTAGTGGCATCTCTATGTGGAAACCAATACAATCTTTAATGGATATATGGTCTGTCTTTCTAATATATCAGGACAATGAAGTTCCATATAACTTTTTGTTCACTATTTAAAGGCTTCATAGCATTTTAAGTGACATCTGCCATAATGGTGTAATAAGGACCACCCAAAACCCTCCCCTCCATAAAGGCACCTGACAAAAATGTTCTGAATCAACATTTTTAGAAATCTGGCAATTAACTAAAGGCTTAGTGCAATCTGGAGAGTGTCCACTCAAGAACAATGGCTAAATCTCAGTAAGAACAGCAAGCTCTGTGGTGTTTTAATTTTCCCTGTTCCCATCTTTCTCTCCCCAGCTATGCAGTTGCCTTGAAACCAACATCCCACAATCACAGTGGGAACCAGTAGTCTGGAAGCCCATGGACTAGGAAGAACAGGGTTAGAACTCCTTCAAAGCTCCCTTCCTAGAGTAGTGTCATTGTTTGACCTGTTTAGTGGTTGCCTGGAAGACACCACTAATGAGGTTTGTCTTTATTTTATCTGATTAGGAATGTGACCACTGTGAACAAATTTTCCTCAGAGGCATTTGTCAAATGTAATTGGGGGGGGGGGGGGG